TTTGCATATGTGGCAAATAAATAGACTTAGGTCTATAATGATATGAACAAACCCAAGCTAAAAAATCCAAAATCTATCCAATAAAAAAAAAGTACTAGGTCTACAATACCTAACAACCAATAAAAATATAATAATAGTAAATGATTGCTATTGTAAGGTTCACACTTGAGTTTAAAATAGACCCAAGGGTAGACTTGGTTTCTTTTTTTATTGCCACATAAGCTAGACTAGATCCCACTTTTAATTGCATTGTGAAACACTTTTATAGATCAGGTCTATTTCCTATATGACATGTAATTTTTTTTAAAGAGACCCAAAACATTGTGGGTGCTCTTAGGACACATCAAATCTTCACTAATCTCAATCTATTCTTATCCTCTTGAAACTTATAGAAAGGAGTAAAAATTGGGAAATTTGCAAGCATACCGAACGAAATTGAAGTAATTTAGAATTTACCATTCACAAACAAATAATTATGTATATACTTAATAGACAAACAATAATTACATTATTGCCTAAAAATCAGTTACCCATCGTAACATCCTCCATTCCATATCTTCTCAGCATGATTTTCGGGATGTTACCAGGAAAAAAAAATCATAATTTTTATCCTGTGACTATACATATATATTTAACATATACTGTACATATAACGAACATATACTGTAGATATACCACAACACAACATAAACGATAGAGGCGCGATCGATCTTTTTCTTAAGAAAAGTTATGCAAATATACCACAAAAATAAAATGACTGGTCGATTAAAATAAAAAATATACCAAACATTACTCAAAAATATACACAACATATTTTTACTCAAAATATACCAAACATTACTCAAAATATACCAGCAGAAATTGGGGACATATTGTAACGCCCCACTTTATTTTAAAGGATTTATCGAATTTATTTAATAAAAATCACAATAAATTTTTCGCAAACTTTAATTTAATTAAAAACTCAGTGGCCGCTACTCAAATTTACCAAAAGCCTTTATCCACAAAAACGCAAACACTGTAACCAAGACATCATACTCGAATATCAAATCATAAATAAAACTGGCATTCATTAAGTTCCAAATCATAAAGATAATTCACAATTCCAAGTTCAAAACGACACAGTCATAATATCTCAACATAAATGAGCGGAAGCAAAATAAATAAGCACTAAATAAAGCTTGACCACCACCGTCTTGTCTCGTCACCCGCCGACTGCTTAACCTGCATCAGTTACGAGCAGGTGGGAGTGAGTACAGTTAACTATCGTACTCACACTATGCATATGAATAACATAATAATGGTATGGTCACAGCATGAACATAAACAATAAAATCATGTCACATCTCTAGCCACATCAATGACTATAGTCTCATCAAAGACTCACTCATGTACATCTATGCTCATCAAAGCTAAGCCATGCCATATCAGTGAAACATGGGAGTGCGTGCCACATCAATGACACGGCCTTCTCATAGGTCTTATGAGATTTACCTCACGGGGTAACCGTATCTTATCATACGGGGACAACCGTATCGACGGCCATCAAGCTCACATCGATAGGCTACATGTTCATTTCCATACATAGATCACACCAACTTTCATCACAATTTAAATCACACATATGCATAGATAATTTTAGAATAACCCACCTGGATTCCGAATTGATAATAACTCAAAGCAATTGGTAGTAGGTCGAGGCTGGACTCCTCAATTACCTACATTGAGTCAAGATGCTACAATCAACATCTATCTTGACTTTAAACGGAAAACACAAAACAGACCTAGTCGAACTTGTTTCGACTAAGTAGTTCGTGAAGTCCTGTGGACGTTGGAACACTAAGACTCGACACTAAACTCGACCAAACCACATTCACAAAAATCCATCTAAAGATTGAACAAGTCAAACTCACATCAAAACGAAAAGCAAGTCGATTCCCAACTTTTATTTAAAAATCACGATTCGAAAATATTAGTCATTAATCACATGAAAATAGATGGTCAGGCTACCCTACGACTTAGGCTCTGAAATTTTACACAAAATTATATCTTCCAAAAACAAGTAAAATCACAAAGTTTCAGCTTTAAACTCAAAATACCCTATTTTATAAAATTCAAACAGTAATTCAGCAAAAAGGGCACATTAATCCATACTCAGACTTAATGAATGAATCTGAACCTAAAAATTTTACACAGCAACATACAGTATGCCAAAGGTTTCTTATAAAAATTTCAGCCTTAAATAATAACAGCTGCTATTTTTAAAAATTCAAACGAGCAACAGCAGTTTAACAAATTTAAACTCAAACTGAAACAAATCAGACTCTAAAAATTCTCATCTTTTACAACCATGATCAAACACCTAAAATATGACTCTCAGTAAAATTTCACAATTTTCTATGCAGTAACCGATTTTTAAAAATTCAAACAACAATTCTGCAGAACCAATAAATAAGATATTATCCATATCAAATCAACTCCAAAAATTCTGAAAATTTAACACAACACATATAGGTCATAGAGGCATGACATATTCGAAGTTCAGCTCATTTTAGTGAGGAATGAATTTATTATGCATTTAACAATATTCTGGACAGAATACAATCTAATTATTAAAAATAGCTACAGGTCTCCAAAAATTATGAAAATTTTACACAAGGCAGGAAACGAATAGATAACACATCCCTCAAAATTTCACATTGTTTCGAGCAGCGAGCTATTTTTAAAAATTCGAACATCAAAACAGCGATTAACAAGCTCGACAACTTGACAATTAAATCACAACACACAATTTATCGTCCGAGGCCTTTTCATAAGACCAAGGACTCGACATTGTTCCAATATCCACTGACTTACACAAGTTTCGAGGTCTCGTTCAATTTCTCATAATTGAAGAGGTCCTCGAACACTTAAACGGCACACATAAAATCACAATTATCACATTGCTCATATCAAACACATTATCGCACAAATATAATCACATCTCGTAAATCAAACATAATACGTAAATCACATAAACAATTTAAACGAGACGAGATTCAACTAGATACCGTCCTCGGGAAAACTCGAAAAACGATCGAAAGAGAAGCTGAACGGTACTCGGGCTCGACGGCGGATGCTCGTCTCGTGCGAACAAAGCTTCGGTACGGCTGTCTGTGAGTCGTCGGTTGCCCGCCGCTGGACGACGGGGCTGTTGCTGCCGGAAGAGAAGCCGACGGGGTGGTCGAAGAGGGCGGGACCCGCTGCTCGCTGGAAAGCGTCGCACGATCGAGATGGTGACCTTAGACATAAACGGGCAGCGTGGGGTTCTCTTCTCCGGCAGGCGGGGACTTGCTGCTCAGTCATGGCGAGGAGCTTTACGAGAGGGGTTGCAGGCGCCGGTCATTGGGCTTGCAGTTGCGGGCGGAGGTCGCGACTCGTCGGGAAGGAGGAGGTCGCCGGAGGGAGGGCCTGCGCGAACAGAGCAGCAGCGATGGAGGCTCACGAAGGAGAGCTCGCGGCGGCGCTCGGTGTTTCGCGGCGGAGGGCTGCTGATCGCGAGTTGTGAGAGGTTGCAAGGGTGGTCTCGCCGGGATTCACAGACAGGGGTCGTCGGGAGAAGCTGGCGGCGATGTGATGGTGTTGATGATGATGGGTGATCGGATCACAAGGGGAAAAGGGGATGGTGACGGGAAAATCTGATGAGAGGGAGATGATGATGATGATCGGCGATGGTGGGATCTCAAGAGAAAAACGAGCGAGAGAAAGTGAGATTGAGGCTGCGCGATCTGGTTTCTGACGAGAGAATAGATAGATACAGAATGATGTACATATATGTGCACAAATAGAATTAGGTTGATTTTTCGTGATTTCCAAGAAAAACTCACACGCACACACATCACGCACGGATTAGGGAAACCGGGTCTTGGGCTGGTTTGGCTCGCGGGCCGGTTCGGTTCACGCGGGTTTCGCCCAAAATAATTCGGCTCTCGGGCTCGAACGATAATTTAAAAATAAAAATCTGGTTATTATTTACAATATATATTTCACACATTATTAATTAAATAATAATATACATTTTAGCATTTAATAGACAATTAGGCATTTAAATAATAATAATAATAAAAAAAAAATAATATTAATAATAATAAATAAACGGGCTAGATCCGTCTCACGCGATTAAATCGAAATCGCCGAACGACGAACGTTTTTATATAAAACGATCGAGTATTCCAACATTATATTTAAGTCGACATCGCGACTAATAAAATAAATATAACCTTATAAATAATATTCGATAAATAGAATATCTCGAGAAATTCTATAAATCAAACGGGGCGCTACACATATACTGAACATATATCGAACATATGCTGAAAATAGTTCTAGTTTCCAGTTTTTTCTAACATGAACCCAGATTAAGAGCCGAAACTTTAGCCATGGCCCTCGTCTCTGCATCTGCAGGCTCACCTGACGGCGTCGGTTCTTCCCCTCCTCGACGGCGACGGGCGTATCTCAGTGGCATCGCCTCGGTCGGCTGAGAATTGTGCGACGAGGAGAAGGAGATGGATTCCACCATCGAGAATCTACCCCCATCATCGGAAAATCGTCGCTCGTGTACCATCATCATGCTCGAGAAGTCGCCGGTGATAAAGACTTGGTGAAGCCGCGGATCAGCACGCTCGATCCTCTCCGGCAACAAGTTGTCGNGCCGCAAACAGAAAGAAAAACTCTCATCGTATAAACTTGTAGAAGAAGAAGAGAGAGAGAAGGAGAGAAGAGAGAGGAGAAGAGAGAGTTATTTGGAATGTGATAAGTTTTTGCCTTTAATTACGCAACAAAATTTCACCAGATTTAATCTCTGGTATTTGTGCAAATAAAATCAATAAATTATGTTAATATGCTAATATATTTTAGAGGGTTACATTTATGTAATAAAAGAATAAAGGGACCGTGTGCAAATTCCTCAAAATTTAACTCTTTTTGTAACCAAGGAGAATCCCCGATTGAAATAGAAAGCCCATCCCCCACCTAGTAAAGAAGTCCACATAGCAACTTTTATCATGTGCATCGTGAGTGGCAGAACGCTATCACAGCACCAAGGACACACAAAAATGAGAAACACAAAGAGAACGCCGCTACATGCAAACAGTGGAAGACGTCTACTCGGAGATCTACTAGACGCCATCTCCACCTCTTGATTCCATTTTTCATATATTCGGAGCCCTTTGTGTAAGTTCGCGCGTCCTTTGTGTTTTCGACGACTGTGTCTTCGTGGTCTACTCCACTTTGTGTCGCGGGAGAAACCATTCCTAACAACTGTCTGGGTTGTTTATCTGTAACTTCTGATCTCTCACTGAGTTTCCTTTCGATCTCAACTTGTTCTTGCGTTTTGCGTTTTGCTTCCGGATTAAAAATCTCATATAAGAAGAGGGCCAGGGTAAGATTAAATTTGTTTAACCATTGCTATTTAGCTCCTGATTTCAAGTAAAGTAATTTTATTTGTAGGGGATGACATTTTCCTTTTATTGTCTGAGATTTTCTTGTGCTATTGTGAGATTTGGTCGGAAAATTGCCACACACGAAATGATTCTTTCACTACTGATGTTGGTTTTTCCTACTCGAGTAGGGAACTTTGATTATTTAAATTTTTTACTGAAAGTTTAATTGAATGCAGTGTTCTCTCTATCATTAGCTCAATCATTATAGAGCTCAATCATATGGCATCAGTTGAAGAAGGTGAAATTGTTGAAGATTGTGTGACAAACTATTATTTTGTCGATAGTAACCAAAACCCCTTATCATTTTCGTGTCTACCCCTTAAATGGAATAACAATGACGATGGCGGGCACGATGAGCGGAAAGTAGAATCGACTAAACATGCATTTCTTCAAGGAATAGCGGTAGATGGGTGTCAACAAATCCATTGGAAGGTGACTGCATGGAAGTTTGTTCTTACCTGCACCCTTCCTGAAATTTATGTACTTTTGGATGCTGAGGGTGGAAGATGGATAAAGCTCCAAAGGCCACAGAAGAGTTATGAAGATATTATTAGAACTGTTCTGATCTCGGTTCATTGTCTCCATTTCATGAAAAAAAACTCAGAGGAATCTAGCATAGCCTTATGGAAACACGTTAGGAAAACCTTCAGGTGGCCATGTTTATCGCTATGTATTTTTGCATGATCCGTTTTATTTTTCTACCTATTCCACTTGTTTAAAATTTTAAATTACCTGCGTGCAGTGCGTATGAGGTTCCACCTTCGAAGAAGGATCTTTTGGACCACATGCAATGGATCAAAGAAGCTGTTTTTAGGGATAAAGATATTGCAAAAGCAAAGGTCTGTGTGTGCATTGTCAAAACGCATCTCAAATGCTGAATCATATGTCATACATCCTTGTGGTCCCTATTATGTAGTTATTATCTGATGAGATAGAAAGACAAAATGATAATTGATTTTCAAATCAAAGTAGTCTGCCCATGCATATACACTCGATACACATATTTGAAGAATGATAATTTTTCATGGAATGTATTAAACGGCACATTAAGTGAACTTTTTTAGATACTGACTCTTTGAAGTCACATATAGCATGTGGGGCACGGAGGTCAAACCTCCTTTTAAGCTTTAATTTGATGAAGTGCATGTTTATTTTGATTTACAAGACTTTTTGCCTAAATGATTGGTCATTCCTGGGTTGCTGTTCACGCTGGTTGAATTGACATCACATTTGGTGGTATGATCCTTCATGCTTCTTGTTTCCCAGGATACATGCAATATTTATTATTGTATTGTTATTATTGTTGTTATAATTATTGTTATTTGTGTATAATGTGTATATATATGTGTGTGTACATTATAGTTTGAGTTAATTTAGATAATCTCCATCTGTAGTACCATTTTTTATTATCTTATAAAAAATAGCTGTCCTTTTTTCATTGGCATGCTTAATGAGATGGTTATACTAGTTATCAGTCTTGATGCATGTTTATGCAATTCTCTGATGACAACTTTATTGTTGAAACAGAATTTACCAACCTTTCTTTCAGAAATGTCTGGAAAGAGGAAAGGTCTTTCCGAGGTCAGTGTCATCATTAATGAACTTTGGTTTGAGTTTTCTTCTTTGTGTCTTCTCCTATCTGCTCCTCTGTTTTGCAGGATAATAGAATAGAGAAGAGAGCAAAGTTTATAGTTTCTGAAGAAGATGATGACAATGACGATCACTATGATTCATGTGAGGCAGAGGGAGATCAATTATTTGATCGTGTTTGTGCATTTTGTGATGATGGTGGTGACTTATTGTGGTATGCAAGTGCTTCTTGATTTTAATGATATCTAAACATGCATTATTAGTAATTTGGATACTATATTTGTATGATTTGTAGGTGTTTGGGCCTAGTTATAGTATGAAAATTGAAAAGTCCAATATATTATCAGTTTTGTGTCCCATTAAATTGATTAGCTTGATTTACATATTCTATATCAAGGGTGTGCCGTCTCCTAATAGGTTGTTGAATGAAAAGCTAAAGTAATGATTGAGATGTGATATTTTGGAGTCTATCAGGTAAGTTTGGCAATTAGAATTATGTATTCGAAATGTTGTTTTATGTGAAAATGGGGAGAGGAATAGTGACTTCACAAATGAAATTTTGATGAACAAACATGTCTCTTCTTTTGCGAATACTGTGAAAACGGAATCTGTTATTGGAAATATAACCATAAATAACCATTGCTATTATTTTTAGATAAATTGGTCTTGTTCCTACGACAACTTTCCTAGATCTTTTCGTGGAACATCCCTTTGTCTTCTGATATGATCAGAAAGAGATTATTATCAAGTATCTGCAAATAAACTTCTGTCTTTGCACCATATTTGTCAAATTTTTAATTTGGATTGTAGTGCTTCAGTCTTCGAAAAGATTACTATTTTTTACACTTTTGACTGGGATAATTCCTTTTATTGTAACATAGTCTTGGTTTTCTGCCAAGTCGCTGGTTGAGATATTTCACTTTCTATGCAGTTGTGAAGGAAGATGCATACGATCTTTTCATCCAACTATACAATCTGGTGCTGGCTCTTCTTGTGAATCTCTGGGTTATAGCAGCGCACAAGTTCATGTATGAAAATAAACTCCAATCCACCTCCTGGAAATCTTACTTTTTGATTCGGCATGTGCACGCATGTCTATGATCTAGGAGTATGTGGATTCATTGTTCCTTTGTAATACTCATTAATCTCATAATGATATATGTTGTTCTCTTGCAGGCCATACAGATTTTTATGTGCGAAAATTGCCAATATCAAAAGCATCAATGCTTTGTTTGTGGTAGGCTGGGCAATTCAGATAAATCTTCTGGTGCAGAGGTGCAACTTCTGCTGGATATTTGAATGAAAGAATTTATGAAACCTATATTGGAAGTATAAACCTACTTGTTATACTTCCATAATTTGAACTTCGATGCTTGTAGCTCAGTACTAATTTGTCTCTACATCATTGTAATGAGAATAGAAGCTAGCACGACTATATAGTCTCTTGAGCCATTGAGTTTCTATGTGGATTGTCGAAGCTGCGTCTAGAAACACGCCTGAAATTAATTATTTTGACTTGAGTGGTCACTGATTGTTATTTGGAGTTCGTAGCTCTTTTGCATTAATCAAGATGTTAGTTCGCAATAAGTATGGAGGAGCAGCACTTGTGAAATTACCTGAAGTTTGCACTGACATAGTACTTTGATATAACATGTATGGGACAAACTTTTGGCCTAATATTTTGATCAAGTATCCTCCGTAGTCCATCCATATTGTTTAGGATTTTAACTCAAGATGTTAGGACGGTACCTTTGTTTGGATTTTGTTTTGGATTTAGTATTCCGAAAGTTGTTATTGCTGCATAGGGCATGTATGCTAAATAGGATCTCTTGACTTAACTGGGATATTGGTGGGTGAGAGATGGTATAATGCTGGTTTTAATCCAAGGAGGGGAAAATATATGACTTAACTATGTTGATGATCTCTTAAGGTTTTCCCTTGCATCTCGGCGACATGCGGGCATTTCTATCATCCACAGTGTGTTTCAGAGCTGATTTTCCCCAGAGAAAAGAATAAAGCTCAAGTACTCCAGAAGCAAATCCAAGCTGGGGAGGCATTTACTTGCCCTGCTCATATATGTTTTATCTGCAGGCAAGGAGAAGTTAAAAATGTTATGGACATGCAATTTGCAGTCTGCAGACGCTGCCCAAAGGCATACCACCGCAAATGCTTACCAAGGTTGCCCTGAAAAGTTATAATTTTCTATATTTCTTTCACTAAATTGGCAGGCAAAGACTGATTGTCTTACTGTGTTTTTAAGTACATGCTTTATTTCTAACATGCTGATTAGTTTGGCAGGAACATTTCTTTCCAGCAGGACGATGAAAAAAATATCCCACAGAGGGCCTGGGAAAAGCTTTTGATCAATCGAATCTTGATCTACTGCATGTATGCTCATCTATTTTTCCTGAATAAATACCTAATATTACCCGGATGCTATTAAATCTTAGATTTTCTATTCAGGGATCATAAGATCTGTCGTAATATTCTCACACCAAAAAGAGACCATCTGCTATTCCCTGAAGTTGGTGGAAACAAAGATCAGTATCCTTCTGTGTTACGACCAGAAAAATTACATGTGATGTCAGAAAGGAGGAGTAAGGTGTATGGAATTCTAACAGATGAAGTAACATTGAAAAAACTGCCTAAAGGAATAACTGACGATTTTATCAAAAATAAAGAGAAAAAACCTTTTGAAAAAGTTGGTAAAATAAACTCGAGTGCAAGTATGATACGCCCACAGAGTATTTCTACGTATGAATGGAGGAAACCAAACAATCCTTCCGCAATGGGGAGATTCAAGTCCACGGTGAAAAGTGGTAAGCCACTGTCGTCATCCAGCATGGGAGGAGTTTCAGAAAAGGGTGCCATTGCAAATATTCCAAGTAAAAAAGCTAGAACTTTAAGAACCCCAGAAATGAGAAAGCGGTGATCACCTGCTCTTTAATTTTTTTTTTTTTTTTTACCTTACATGATAGTTTTCTGTTAGCTTTTCTTAGAAAGGAAGAGTACGTGCTCCAAGAGTATGATGTTCGGTGATATTTTTGCTGTGCAGAATACAGATATTAATAAACAACTCCATGTCTTCTTTTAATGAGGAAGAGTTTCTTGCTGAACAGAGGAGGAAATGTGTAAATACTTCCTCCCAACTTTCCAGAGTGGTCAACACAATTACCCTAGGAAAGGTGGAATGCTTGGTTCAGGTCCGCTTTTAGTCTCACTTAACTAAAAGCATAACAATTTTTCTATATCTTTTATATATACATATGAATGACGGCGCATGTGTGTTTATGTTCAATAAACAAACAAATTCTCCTCTATGTTTTGACACCTGCCTCAACTATGCCTTCAATTTCTATCACTATCACATATATGGAATGATTTTTGTTTATCGTCTGTTCATGTCAAAATCTGAATGTGGCAGTCCTAGAAGCTAGTAACATATTCTGGTTTGGTTGGAAATGTTGTTTCAGAGATTTATGAAAGATGGAACTGTATTATACCATGTGAGACCGATTTGATAGCCTTTTCTGATATTTTTTGTGAAGATATTTGGTGTTAAATGTCTAGTGATGTTGTCTCTTTTTTTCATTGAAGTTGTTGGTTATTGATTGTTTTAGGCTATCCAAGCAGCAATGAAGAAATTACAAGAAGGAGGCACAATTGAGGATGCAAAAGCTGTTTGTGAACCTGCCATTCTTTCTCAATCGATCAAATGGAAGGTTATACCATGATGAAACAAAATTTATAACTGAAGAACTAGATCCTTAACAGCTTAAGTTTTAATATTCTGTCTTCTCTGAGGCATTTATTAACTTATGCATCTAGGGTTTGTGTTTCTTAGAACATACTTTCTTGTGTTCCATAATAGTATGTCCAAGTAGTTCTCTTCAGGAGAAATAAATAGTACACAGGCAGCTCTTAGCAAAACCATGCAGGCTATAGACAGTTATTGATGAGGTTGTTTTGCTTTAAATTATTGATCTTCTTTGCTTATTATTAGCTAATTAATTTAATTAATAATTATTGCATCAACAAACTCTATAAACGTTTTAAAAGCACTATACTAGATTTTGCTTCCATATTGTTTAATTTGGTACCACATCATTAATTTTCTTGACGTTCTCCTAGATCAGTACATACATATAAGGTTGAGTAGGTTCTCATTTATCTGTTGTGGTTTAAGTTAATTTCTAATTGCAATACCCCCAACGCTGTAACCTATTATGTAACGGTGCTCTGCTACGTTTATATAAGATTCATAGACATGTAAACTGTATATATAATTTACCTTTCTTGTATATTATGTATCACAGATTAGGATCTTGGCCTAACTATCAGTTGCTTACTATATTTCAGAAAAAGCTACATGTCCTTCTTGCTCCCTTTATACATGGCATGCGCTATACATCATTTGGTCGGCACTTCACAAAAGTTGAGAAGCTGAAGCAGGTAAATACTCTTATAACTGATTTTAAATCTATTCATTGGATCGGTAGCACGTATAAATCTTGGATATGCACAATTTTTCCTGAAATGTGTTTCCATGGATTCATTACAAGATCTATTCCTTAACCTTACCTCAATTGCCTAATGCCTATACACTTTCAGAATTGAACTGGCAATCCTTATGTCGAGATTTGAGCCGGTTGCTTATTGGAAGGGCTAACGAACAATCAAATAAAACCATTATCTATTCTCCACTGGGAAAGAGATGACTAATTCCTACTTGTGGTTCTGTTGGATTAAATGAGGTTATGAGCAATGCTATTGTGACCCTTGTTATCATGATAAGAGTTTCACGAAAAGAATGACGGACTTTCTTCTTTCCTTCAACAAGTACCAAAGCCAAATAACTTCATGAATTCTGAGGGCAAGAGATCTGATTTTTTGTTATTTTTTATTTGCATTTCCTCTGGCTTACACGGCTAGGCCTACCTCAGCACTCTTTGCATGATACCAGATTTCCTGCAAGGGAAGGTGCAATAAACAGACATGAATTTTCATTTATTTATTTGTTCCACAGCTGGCTTTGATGTCACTCCCTCTTGGCTAAAATCAAAATTGATATTAATAAATTTCTATGCTCTATATTTGCTTCCCATAACATTTTTGTTTCTACGTGTGCCAAAATCCCTTCCTTATTCTGAGTGCCTGTTCCTGCTCTCTTGTCAGTGTGTTGCGGTAATTTTATAGTGTTCACTGCCAGTAAAAGTTACTGAGATCTGGTTCAAAATTTGCAGGTTGTCAGTAGGCTTCGTTGGTACGTGCAAGATGGAGACACTGTAAGAACAATTTATACCAACATCATTTACAGTAATAACAGCATTTTGTCGCATTTACATATTTTGGTAGGCCTGCATCTTAAATAGAACCAAGACCACCTCAAAGTCACAGGTTTACTTGTTAAAATCATTCTGGTCGAGATAGTTTGAGATGCTTACAGTTGTTAATTGGAANACTTGAATGAATACAGTCCCAGTCAGAATGATACTACATTTGTGGTTTAGTGAAGCTTTGTGGTGTTCTTTATATTCTACCTCAGGATGATAATCTGTCATTTGCATTATATCCTACCACAGCTCGGAATTCGGTTAAAGTAAGTACAGCCACCTGAATAGTGGACAAAAGTGAGTCCAGATTTGTATACACCTCCAATAATCGAACCTAATCGCATCTGATATTAGCGGTAGTTTTGATGTGTGATGGTCTCATGGCATTCTTGCTTAGATAATTTTTTTGAATGGTAATTTGTCTTGAGCTATTCTATTGCCAACTTTTCATTTCACTTTGGTTAACTATGTTCACGTCTCTTCCAAATTGTAACGGCAATCTTACCTCTTTGGAATTGACAATACATCAGCAACATGGCAACATGTGGTTCCACTTCCATCAACAAGAATTACGCCAACGCGAAATACTATTTTGGTGTCCTAGTTGAAGTATGCTTTTAATTGATAATGAGCTGGTATCCAAGTCAAAGTGATTTAAAAAAGGAAAATATGAAGTAACCAGTAAATTCGGGAAAAATCTATTCATTAGTTACGAATTATTGTTATTTTTCAATAAGTTTTACTTATAATAGTATTCCACACTTGGGGAGGATATCCTCTCCCGCCATATGAGTTGGAAAATTATACTCTTTGAAATTGGCAAACTATGTTTATCTGATGATTGTGATGGAAGTTATTTGGACAGCTGAGAGTGAGAAATATATGTAAACCCCAGCTAAACATAGCCCACAAAATTCATCTTTGTTGTACACAGAACGTTATGTCCTTATAACTAATCAATTGTCTTGAACAGATTGTTGATTTCTGTTGTGGATCAAACGATTTCAGCTGCTTAATGAAGGAAGAACTTGAAAGAATGGGAAGAAAGTGCTCCTTCAAAAATTATGACCTCATACAACCAAAGGTATACCTTCGCTATACTGTTTTCTGCACCTAGTGCCTTAAATCCTGTTAGGCCTATGAGCAGCATGCATGCTTGCTTGGGCAATATGTCTCACATTCTTAGAACACAACTGGGCATATTGTTCATATATCTTCGAATATATGTGTGTGTGTGTGTGTGTGTGTGTGTTTGTGTTACAACATTGACTTATAATATCACACTAATGAGTTTTATCATGAGGATGTTTGATAAAACCTGTGAATGTTGTAGTGCCGCTAATATCTTAAGTCTGAAAAATTGCAATGAATTAAAGGTATATGCTGTGCAAGTTGTTACCACTCAACCTTGTGTGTGTGTGTGTGTGTTTGTAAGCGAGATTATATATAAAAGCCTAGTTGTGCCAAGACGAAGCCTAGCATCATAAGGCGTGTATGTTTTTATATTATTTTCATCACGGAGGTTGGAGGTGTACAACTTGGTCATATTTGCATTCTTATTTGTGCATTGCTCCTCTGATAGATGCATCATCTACTTTTCTATATCTTCTTGTTCTAGAATGACTTCAACTTTGAGAAAAGAGACTGGATGAGCGTTGGGTTGGGAGAATTACCTGAAGGATCTAATCTGGTATTGTCTTTTAATTCTGTGGAGGGGCAAAACCTTTTTACCTTGGAGAAACTAAATCTTTTTTTTGCTCATAGCATTGCTTGGTTCTTTGCTTAGATCATGGGGCTAAATCCTCCTTTTGGTGTTCAAGCATCTCTGGCAAATCAATTTATCGAGAAGGCTTTGAGCTTTATGCCAAAGCTTCTTATTCTCATAGTTCCCAAAGAAACTGAAAGGTAAGCACTGACAACCAAATATTATGTATGTATGTCTGGGTGTGTGTGTGTGTGTGTGTGTGTATGCACCTCATCCTTTTGGCCTTCTTATTCGGTTGTCAATGCATCTCTTTTGTGGTGTCCAGATTGGATATGAAAGAGATTCCATATGACCTAATATGGGAGGATGATCAGATTTTATCTGGCAAGGTACAAATAGATCATATATATTCTTTAAATTATTTATATTTGTTAATAATAGAAAATGTTGTTTATACGAGTGATGAGATGAAGTGAAGTGAGTTTATGTGTTCGAACTTGACCATCTTTCAGTCGTTTTACCTTCCTGGGTCAGTAGACGTGCATGACCAACGAATGGAACAGTGGAACTTGGAGCCACCACCTTTATACTTGTGGAGTCGACCTGACTGGACCATCAAGCATAACTCAGTAGCACTGGAGTACGGTCACTTGCTACCGAATCAAGGCATGGGACATGATTTCCCCACCTTTGTGAATGGCTATGGTGATATTAACAGCATTCTAGAAGAATCAATTCCAGAAGCAGATATCTGATGATGGTTGAGTCCCATCTTTGCAACATGAGCATATGAAACAAATGGTTGCGACTACCTGTCTGTTTACATAGCTTGTTTTTAGATGTCTCTTTCTGCAACTTGATGACTAAAAGTGCAATCTATTAGGCTGTAAGACTTACATATATCCTGCGTTTCTTTTTGGAGATTGATCTAACAAGATTGCCCCTTGAATGATCATATCATAGCGTATAAGAGCTGGTAGTTCATTAATATAAAGATCTCCTCAATTCATATAACAAT